CGTGTGCGTTTCAGCAGCAGAGCAGACCCAAAGTTCCTGGCCACTGGGTCTCACTGCCACTGGCAGAGAGTGTTTTGCTCCCCAAGGCATGGGGAGTAATTTGTTATTTGAAAGTCTGCATTGCAATTCCTCTTCTCTGGTGTAAGAGCAGCACTGTTCTTCAGGTGAGACCAGAGACTCTGAAGATACACGGCAGAGACCAGGGAAGGGGAATGGCAGGGGCTGAATGATGTGACTGAGAATACAGGCTCTGGGAATTCCCTGTAGCACTGCAAGTTTCAATTGCAGGGCAGCTCTGGCTGTGTGATACCTCTGGGTAGAGAGCGAAGAAAATAGAGAATACAGCCCATTTAAAAAAAAAAAACCTCACAGTGACCGCAAGCTCCCCTGCTCTTCCATCTCTGAAACTAGTCCTTGCAGCTCTTCCAGTGGAGTAGGGAATCAGCTGGTTTCAAGCGTCAAAGTACTTTGTTTCTGCAGACAGTGAGAAGGTCTACGGGATGCTGGCAGCCTCTGGCTGCGTGTACTGCCCTTCACCTGACTGCGCTGTGGCCTGGTGGTCACGCGGTGTGGGCAGGGCTGCTCTCCAGGGACTGCTGGAGCCAGAGACTTCTTAGGGACTGGGTGCCCTTTCCTTCTTTTGGCATCTTTGGCCCTGTCCGTAGCAGGACACGTTCCCAAGCAGTCCTACAGACCTGTGTGCACATCCTCGCAGTGAAGGGGTTTCACCTCCTCTGGAGCTACTCGGCAAGAAGGCAGCTCAGCCCTTCCTCATGCTGGGTGCTGTACAAACAACGAAGGAGTTGCAGTCCCTGCTCGGGCTGCCTCGGTGCTCCAGCAGAAGACCTGCAGATAGAAGAGACAAGTGGGCAGACAGGGTAAAGAGGGCAGTGTAGCAGGGTACACGTGTCCCTTTCGCCAGTCTGGAATAGTGTGGCAACTTGTTTCTTGCCTGCCTTTGTGTCCCAGAAAACACTGTGAGATCAGCACAAGTCCCTGAACTCATTTGCGCTTGAGAATCATCTACTTGCAGCATTTAGCAGCTTGTACAGAGTGGGCTCCTGACAAACGTGGCCGTATTTCACAGAAGAAGGCAATGTTGAGACCCTCCCTTCCTTTATCAGTGATGTGCAGAAGGAGCTGGTGGGAGCTCCTCCCTGGGTGGGAGCAAAAGCGAAGCACTGCCAGAAGAGATTAGAGCAGAACTCCGACCACAGCCAGAAGACAGAGCAGGATTACTGAACCTCTGACTGCAGCCCTTGAAATCCAGCCTGAGCCTCTGGTTTGGCAGAACTTCCCCTTTGCTTATTGCCTTAGTCATGGCTACAGTGCAATGGGCTTGGTCAGGTCCAGGCTTCTCATGTTGGGGTGAAGGGGCCAGGACATTCATTCAGTGCTGGTAATGCTTTGTGGGGTGAGGGTCCGAGAGCAGGACACCTGTGAATAGCAAGAGAGGAAGCCACTAATCAGGGTTGGGAGAGGGAAAGGGAAAAATTTAGATTGTCAGTAGACAAGGGGAGCTTTTTCCTGAACGAAAAGAAAGAGAAGGAGAATGGAAGCACAGTCCAATGTGCTGTGCTATGTTTTTTACTTTAGAAGGTCTTGGAGCACTTTGAAAAGTCCAGATCTGAGGCTTCTCCCTCAGGGAATTGCTGACAGCAGCCTCTTGACGCTTCACAGCTTGAATGCCCACAGGTCTGTGGACCACGACACCTCTGTGTAGGATTTAGCAGCCATGTAAGAGTGCAAGAGGTACACAATGGCAAGTGAGGCAGTTTATTTTCTCCCCTGGAATAGCTCCGTCCTGGAAAATTCGTAGGAAGGCAAAAGAGAATGGAAAGAAATACTACAGACTCCAAAGAAAGGAAAACCAGTAGAGGCAGTCTCTGCATCTGGAAGCAGTTGCTGTATATCCTGGCGCACATGGATAGCAAGTGACTGCACGCACGTGTGTGCACGAATGCTGAGGGGCGCATGTAGCATGCCCACGCTACGCTTTGTGCTTACTAGTGGATGGTGACTGTGCAATGTGTGTGTGCCTGTGTTTAGGTACGTCGGTGTTGTGCTGACTGGGATATGTCTGTATATCTTTTTGATATGCACATCTTGTGCCCGTAGGCTCTCTGCATTTCTTTCTGTCACTGCTCCCTTTTGCTGAAATGGGAGATGGCAGTGACCCAATCCATACTTCAGTTCCCTGGCTAATCTAGTGTTGTCTTGATCTCTGTGACACCCTAAAGCGAGCTGTTGTGAACGAATGCCCCCCAAGTGATAGGTGGACAGTCCCAACATGCACACTGATATCAGAAGGGCAATATGACTGCAGATCTATTTCCTCTGCTTTTACCATTTGAGCTGAGCTATCCCTTCTCTGGCTGCATGTGCTGTCTGACTGCTTGTGTCTGATGTCCTGCATCTCTGTGTGCATCCCTGACGGGTGCGTGCTGAGCATGGGGAACAGAAGGGGCAGTACCTCTGAAGCACTCAAACCCTCAGCATGTTCCCCAAGGCCCTGGCCCCCAGCATCCAGAGGGCTGGGAGGGAACCGGGATCCCTCTCCGCTGTCGCAGGTGTTACCTGTGAAATGCCAGGCTCCCGGGCACGTCTGTGGGGCTGCTCTTTCTCTGCTGTTCCCGAGGTGGTACCTGCAGCTCTGACCCGCTCCCTGCACTTGGCAGCAGTCAGCTGCTTTCCGGAGGTGGCTTGGTATTAAATATCCTGTCTGACACAATAATGGAGAGAAAATGAACAAATTCCATTAGTGGCTGGCGATCCCTGCAGGGTCTGCGTTGGAGCGAGGAGGGAGCCTGTATTTTTAGATAGAATGCAATGTAACTCACTGGCTCTCTCAAAGCTGGGGAGTAGATAACCAAGGAGGGAGAGAGGGGACACCAGGCTCAGGTTTCAGCTGAAGTGCCGGACTATGGCAGCACGAAAGGGCAGGTCCGGTCCAGACGTGGCTGTGAGTATACAATGCACTTCTCCTTCGTGCCCACGGAGACCTCCGCTTTGCTTTTCTGCTTGCTTTCTGCCTGTAGTCTCTGCTGCTGGGCGTGCTGGGGCTTTGGGAGCCCCTTTGCTGCTGGAGCCTGTAGACTTTTTCCATTTTAATCTTCGCAGCTCCATGTGTGTCCCATGGGTGGGAGAGCGTGGCTGAGCTGTGCTTTGACTTTCCAAGGTGTTTGCTGTTGAAGGTCCGTGCTGTGACTGGCATGCCGGCAGCATAGCTGAGGTGCTGCCCTGTCATTGATCCTGTCCTGAGATGCAGAGGCTTCTAGCGGAGTCTGGAGCTGGAAAAGCTCTTCGCATTCAACCTGTTGCTTGAAGCTGTCAGTGTTTCCTTGCTAGACCGCAGACAGCACGCAGGGGCTCAGAGCACAAACATGCACGTCTAAGCACAGCGCTGGTGCTGCCTTCTGCCTCTTACGGTAGATCATCCTGCACACGCAGAGCACTGAGGTGCTACGTCGTGTCTCCTCTGTGCTCACAGCCCTCCACAAAGCTGGCAGCTCTGCTGAGACTCTGGGAGCTCTTCCCAGGTGGACAGGGCTCTCCTCTGAGGTGGTAGCAAGCGGAGCCAGCTGGCACAGGTCATCATGAGATCAGCACGTGTTCCCCCGCGTGCGGAGGCTGCGCGCTGGGACAGGGCATGGTGGTGCTGCCCTCCACCACCTGTCCCTCTGACCCCGTGGGCTGCCCCAGAATGGGCCATGGCACCTGGCCGCTGCTGTGGGAGCCGGGGCTGAGTTCTGCAGGGTGTGCCCAGCACAGCGGGGGCCAGGACACCCTGTCTGTGGGACTGCCTTCTGCAGGGGTAGCAGGGTGGTGGGCCCAGGACATGGCTACCTTTCTCTGGGGTAGGAAGGTTGGGCAGAAAGGATGGGTTGGGGGAGGCAGATGGATGAGAGCAGAAGGCAGCCAAGTTGCGCTGCTCCAAAGTCCAAATTCAAATGGCTGAGACTGCAAAGAGAAGGGAAGAGAGAAGCCCTGAACCCGTGTGGTGCATCATCCTGCCTAGGTCTGCCTCCAGTGCTGTCCTCTGTGGCCATGCTGCTTCCAGTTCCTGTCCAGGAGCTTCCTAATCCTGGGTGCTCCTCTGCAGCCAGGCTGTGGGCACGACAGGAAGGCCTGCGATGGCAGGATGTAGGCTCTCGTAGCACAGCAGGTCCCTTGATCAGTCCCAATGTGAGCGGTACAAGAGGGTTCTGATTTTCTGTTGGAGCTGAAGGCAGAGGAGTGTGTCCCGTGCACCTGCCATGGATGTCTCATGGCTCTTTGCTGCAGAGTGCCCTTTGAGCAGGACCTAGCCGGCAGCTCATAGTTACCAGTTCAAGGTCCCAGCCTCTCAGAGCCATGTCACTGCATTTCCACTGTGCCGTTCTCCAGCTTCTGGTGAGCCATCCCGTGGTCTTAATTTGCTGCCTTACACTGCTAAATAGTGTTGCTTGAAGTATTGCTGTGCCTTGCCTGGAGTGGCTGTGTTTTAGTGGTGCAGGGAGACACTGCCTTGTTTCTGTCGGAAAAGAGAGTCGCGACTTTCCTGGCTGGGACCATTGTCCCTTGGTGCCGGTACTTGAACTCACCACCGCAGGGTGGGCTCACCACAGCTGCGGCCCAGGCCTCGTCCATCGCTGCAGTCTCTCAGCCAGGACACAGAGGCATTTCCTGGGCCAGGAGAGGCTGCCATGGTTGCAGGAGTCCCCTTAGAGCTTCCTCCCTACCCCGCCTGCAGTGCTGGGACGAGCTTCAGAGCTTGTGTGGCTCTCCTGCCCCATCATCTGGATGCTGTCCAGGTCCCAGTCCTGCTTCCTGCCGTTTGATTTGGGGCACCTCAGTCTGTCCCAGAAGTTCACACCTTGACCTGCCCAGCCTCTGCCTTTTCAGGCTGATCTCTGTAGTCATGTTCTCTGCAACCGAGTGAAGAGCTGGCCCTGTGCTGGTGATGGGGGAGAACAAGGTGACTCTGAGTCTCATGCTTTTTCTTGTTTTCCCCAAGGCCGATGCTGCAACCAGTTTCTTGAGAGCTGCAAGATCTGGAAATCTGGACAAAGCTTTGGATCACCTCAGGAACGGGGTAGATATTAACACCTGTAACCAGGTAGGTGAAACCCACAGGGCTTCTGGTACCATCTCCAGTTCATGTGAAAATGTGCCACGCGGTGGGTCCCCCAGGCCCAGAGACGGTCACCGCACCCCTTCTTCCACTGATCCCCTAAGATGGAGGCAGGGAGGTTCCCCATGGCTGCTCGCTTGCTCTGCTCTGTGTAGCTGATTGGGAGTACCTGCCCTGATCCCACAGTCCTACCTGCCATGGAGCAGGGTGTAAGTTGGCTGGTAATAAGTTGCCTGGCAGAGGAAGGTTAAAATTTTTGTGGGAGAGGCTGCCTGTCCTGACCCCACTCCCTTCTGCGCCTGATGAGCCTGGCTCCTGACGAAGCCTCTGGGGGTGAGACGAAAGAGGTGCTGTGTTAGGTGGGGTGCAACGGCAACTTTGCTGTGCGGAGGTGATTTCCTGGGGATGATTTCCTTTGCAAAGGCATTGTGTGGTCTCCAGGCACGTGTATCCAGAGCTGTGGCATGCCCGGCTGAGGGGTAGGCGCACACCGCCCTGGCAGAGCGTGGAGCCATGACTGCCAGCGCAGTGGGGGAATCCTTGGGGTGTGGAGTCAAGTGTCCTGGCAGACCCCATCCTCCTCTCAACTGCACCACCCCCTGCCAGGCTCCAGGCAACCTGCAGCCCCTTGTCCGTGTCCGTGCCAGGCAGCTGGCACAGGAGCTCCTAACCGGAATTGAGCTCAGGGGAGAGGCCGCGCAGGGCAGACTGCAGCATGCGAGCTGTCCCTTGCTGGGGAGGCTTCCACAGCTGAGATAGGTGGAAACAGGTCCTGAGGAAAACAGCTAGCCAGAAGGCAGATCTGGACCAGTTGTCTTTGGGGCAGGGAGGGCAGCAACGGCTATAAAGATCTGGGGAACCTGGCAGTACGGCTGGAGTGTAGCAAAGGGCATTGACAGGTAAGCAGAGAGGGAGATCTGAGGCTCCTTTAGGGTGACAAGCAAGTGGGACAGCTGGAAAGGGCTCAGCTGCTTATCAGAGGGCAGAGGAGATAGCTGTGGAGAGTGCAGCACAGTGGCTGGGACATCGCAGGAATCGCTCTTGAGGATATTCCCCTTGCCTGCAATGCTCAGGCTTTCAGATGACTGAGATTACAGAAGCTGCGTCTTAACGCAAGCAGGGGATGTTTGCAAAATGCCAGTCTTGGTGGCTTGGGAGGGGTTGGGCAGGTGGAGCCCCTCCTAGCCCAGAGCAGAGACAGACCTGCCCCAGGAAAGGAGAGCTGCAGGCACGGAGGAATTGTTTGCATATTGTCGACAGAACGTTTTGTATCTGTGTAGCTGCCAAATGCAAGCGGCTCAGCCTGAATAGGGGTAGGTGCTGCAGGGAGAGACTCGGGGGCTGTGGGCTGAGCAGGGGAACAGACAGACTGAACTATGGGCTCCCTTTCCAGAGCAGTAGTGATGCTGGGGAGGCTGACTCAGCAGGTAGCACAAATGTATGTTCACCTGGTTCAGTATCGGGTCCCCAAGCCAAGTGTAGTTCAGACCTACTGATTTGTGCGCTGCAGTGGCCAGTGCAGTTACTGCAGACAGGTTCCCCCAGGAAACGTCACCGTCTCCTTTTCTTTCCAGACTGATAGTACTGTGCAGGGATGCTGGGCTTCTGCAGGCCCCTGGGGCACACTGCAGCTTGCGTTCTCCTTGCTGGGACACTAGATGAAATTTGGGGAAAGCTCAGGAGATGCTCATTTTGTTCATCACTGTATTATCTGGATTATTTATTCATAATCAGTATACTCTTAAAGACTTCTGTCCTGGGGCTGTGTGAGGACATATGGGATTTAGATCAGAGGGATCTTGTAGGGAGAGGAGGTAGAACATTTTCAGTTTCAGAGTCCTTTGAAGATCAGCTTTTCCATGAGGACCTGTTGGTGGGTCACAGTCTCTGACCTCATAACCATTTTGGAGATGTACATGGTTTGAAAAGAGGAGAGGCTGTGTGACAAGCTCTTAGCAATGGGCTGCAGGACTTGGCTTTCACTTGGCAAGGAGCAGCTCATGTGCGTGCACCTGGCAGGATCTTGCAAGTTGCTGTGCTTCGTTTCAGAATATGACCCAGTCATTCAACCCAACTGCTGCTCCCTTAGTCTCTCCCAGGAGAGCAGAAGCCCCTGTAATTGAGCCACAGCACCGGGCCAGTCGCTGGAAGCAGTCGCACTGCTCCTGCTTCCAAACGCTTAGCTACGAATGAGCAGAGACAAATAGGTGTTTAATGTACCCACTGCTCCCTTACAGACCTCTGGGAAAGCAAGTCACAAGGAGCAGGGAGATCCTGCTCCTGACGTCTGTGCCACTTTCTGGGGATGCTGCCATGCACGGCACATTCGTGTGTGCCCTGTGCGTGCAGAGGCTGCAGCAGAACCTGGCAGGGAAAATCATCTGTGCCTGTTCACAAGTGGCTCAGAGAATTCCCTCCTGGCAGTTTTTGCGGGCATCTGGAGGAGAAGGGCAAGAGTAGGTGGGGGCTGTGTTTGGCCACACTGGCCCGTGCCTTCTGAGATGGGAAACTCCACAAGCAGAGCACGCTACGGATGTTCGCTCACTTCCAATGACAAGCCTAAAAGCAGAGGGAGGATTTCTACGTCCACTGCTCCTGTACAGTTCTAGTGCAGAGGCATATGTGGTTCTGGAGAGGGCTCTGCAAAGAATTAAAACAAGGACATCCAGCCACAAGCTGAAGATGATGGCTTTGAACTTCTTCCTCACCCAGAGAGATGGTCAGTCATCAGCTGTCTCCACTGCCTGGCTGCGAGTCCTGTTTCCAGCCAGATTTCTGGTTTTGGTGGGGGGATTTATCACATTGACAGGGAGCACGTGGCTACAACAGTATGAGGCACTTCTTTCAGTGACGTCTTTGCACTGGTTCCTGCCATCTCCCCAAGGTTAGATGGCACTTTGGGGTTTCCTTCTGAGGAATATCAGACCTGTGGGAAAGGTCCAACCTCACATGTCCTGTATAGAATAAAGAGGGATATATGTGGTCAGACCTATCCCACAGGCCCTGTATTCTTACTCAAGTGCAGAGACCTTGACATGCCATCTGATCTTCATGCCGCTGATGTCATCCCCTTCATTGCTGCCATCTACATCAGTGTCTTCATCATCCACCTCTCTCGTGTTTCGAATTCCTGCATGCTCCCATCTCATCCCTGAGGAGCTGGAGACCTGAGGATGAGCACGCCTTGCTGCCAGGACCCTCACCAGCAGGGAACGGAGCTGTGCTAGCACACGGGTGCCAGGAGATAGTCTCTGTTGGGGTGGCCAATCTCAGTCCCGATGGGCAATCCAGGGCTTTGGTACAGGCTAAGTGCAAAGTCCCGCATTTTGTGTTTTTCTTGAGGCTGCGTTTGTCGCATTGACAGCCAGCGACTGGGATTTCTGGGAAGCATTTGCGGCACTTAGTGAGGGGAATACAGCACCTTTCAAATTAAGCACATCCTGTGGTGGTTTTGGGTCAGATGAGCTGTCAAGCCAAAGCAAATGTGCAAAACAGGCTGTATTGTTCCCGGAGCAGAAATATCGATGGGCCGCTGGGAAATGATCTTCTGCAAACATTGCACTTATTGCTGTAAGGCCAGAGAATAATGATTCCTCACAGGTTTTCAGCATTCAGAAGGTTATTTATGAATCCATTGCGTAAAAGGGCATATGTGCTGAGGAGAGCAACCGAGCATCTGTGGTCTTGCACTCCAGGCATTTGTTGTGTGAGCGTAACAGAAAAAGCGTGTGTGTCTGTGGCCACATATGCAACTTGTGAGCTCACGAAGGTAAGGGTGTCAGTGACCATCTGTATGGGTTGTGTAGGTGTGTCTTGGTCAAAGAAGCTGGGCTTGACCGAGGTGATGGGCTCAACCTAGCCAGGCCTGGTTGGGGAGCGTTTCCTTTCGGTGGCTCTTCTGTGGGTGTTGCAGCATTCCTACTTCTTTTTCCCTTGGAAAAGCCTTTTGTGCTTGAGGCTCTAGGGGACTTTGGTGTGCTGAGGGAGCCTGTGGATTTTTAGGTTTTTGCTCTTCGTGCTGTCATCAGAGTTGAGCAAAAGAATCTGTGACTCTCTGACTATGACCCTGGATAGCTGGTTCTTTGAGTGAGAGAGGGTGGAAAACCTTTTTCCAGTATGATAACACTCTTAGAAGATGTTTTAAGTTTAACTGGAGTGTTGAGGGCTGGAACTGGAGCCTCCCCAGGCATTTTCTGCTCCCCTACCTATAATTCAGGTGGGGATGAAGCAATTCTGTGAAGTGACCTTCCAGTACTCTACAGAAGCTGAAACAGATGGTTGGGAGGTGGAGTACTTGGGCAGGACTGTGTGCTCCCAGGGAGCTGGCGGCTCTCTGCCACGTGACAGCATTGCGTAGGGGTGAGTAAACATAGTGCATCCAGCTGGGAGAAGTGAGGGACAAGGGAGGTTTGCATTGCGGGGGAAAAAGTGACATCTGAAATTGCCTGCAAGTATTTAACCTCTTTGCCAGCAAATATCCCAGCCCTTTTGTTCACATCTGGGAAACGGAAGAGTGTCAGAAATAATGGAGCAGGAGCTGTCTTAGCAGCCTCTAGGGTGCTGACTGGCTTGACGCTTCCTTCTGACGGCCCAGGGATGCTAAAAGGGCACCGGCCAGCCCTTTGCTCCTAGTGCTCAGGTTCCATGTGTAGGAAAAGGTGAGCTAAACTGAGGCACACGCAGAGATGTTCCCGAGAAGCCGCTTCAGTTGTTTGGGAGCTTTCTGGAACTGGTAGAGCTTAGCAGTGGCACAGCCAACATCATCTCTGCACCCTTTGCTGCAGCTAAACTCTCAGGGAGCAAAGTCGAGCCTCTGCTGAGCATGGGTTGCAGGACGGGGCTGTTGGTGGGCAATCTGCAAGGCCAAGAAAAAGCCAGCCGCTGGACTGGAAGCTCCTGAACTGTAGTGAATTAAATTTGGCTGCTGCTCAGTAAAGTCATTGTCCCAGGCAGAGCTTGTCACTGCATTTCTGTCTGTGTAAATGTTAGAAGTTTAAGGTTTGTATGTGCGCTTACACAGCAGCTCTGGTGCATCCTCACTCTGGGCCGTACACAAAGCTCAGGTCTGTGCTTCAGGTTTGAAAAGCCTGACTGCGAGCAGGCGATCACGGGGAGGGGCACCCCAAGGAAAGTCACTTGAGCAAAGACAGGAGTTGACATCAGGGGTGCGTCGCGAGCAGGGAGGACTGAAACAGTGCCTGTGGCACCAAACACACACACACTGAGCTGTAGTGCCACCCATCCATGGGAAATCGTCTACGGGGGCTGCATGTTTTGCTCACAGAGAAACGTCCAGCATTAGTCAGCAACTCAGCGTTCAGCCGCGCGTAGTTGCCCTGGCAGCATGGAGCTAAACACGGCTGTCGTGCCAGCACAGGTCTCGAGGGCAAAGCAACAGCTCCTGCTCCCACCAGCCTGGACCTTCTCCAGTGTGGGCCAAGTGCCCACAGTTGTGTCTGCACAGGAGCTCAGAGTAGGGGGTTCCCTGGAGAGCCCCAGCAGATGACTAATGCCCTCTCCTACCTTTGCTCCCTCCAGAATGGGCTGAACGCCTTGCACCTGGCCTCCAAGGAGGGCCACGTCAAAATGGTGGTGGAGCTGCTGCACAAGGAGATCGTTTTGGAGACAACGACCAAGGTGAGGACAAGGGAGTCCGGTCACGTTCGTCACAACTCCGCACCCTGCCGTTGCTGCCAGACACACCAGCACTAGCTGAGCAGTGAATCACGTTGTTTGCTGTCGCCCCTGGAAAGGCTGTGCTGGTGGCAGTGCTGCCGGGCTGGGGCCTGAGGACCGGGCTCTGATTTCAGCGCAGTTAAAGCTGTGCTGGGCACCTCCACCCCTCCCTCTCCCCCGTGGGGGTCATGGGGACCACCGTGAGCTCAAGAGGGGAGTAACAGAAGCTGCAACACGTGCTAGTGCTGTCTTTACTCGCATCTCTTCCCAGCGCTGGCTGCCGGCTCAGGTCAGCCCTCGCTGCCACGGGGCAGCCCCTGTGTGCTGCAACACCGAGATGGCCTTGGTACCATTGTTGCAAGCCTGGAGAGCTCTGGTGCTCCGTAAATAACATGTCATTCTCTCCCTGCATCACCACAGTGGGGTGTGGTTCTTGCTCGCTGACGAGCAAGACAACAACGCAAACAAGCAGGGCTGACAAATGAGCAGCCTCCAGCACCATCTGAAGGGCTGTGAGAGCAGGAGGGGGCCTGGCTTGCCACCTCCCCGGTGCTCTGGCAGGGCTCGGGGTGCAGAGCAGAGTCTGGCATTCTGCCACACCACCCAAAGGCACAAGCCGGAAGAGCCTGTGTCTGCGTTTTCTAGCCTGCTTATCGTCCCTTAGCTCTGCTGGGATGCCTTGGCTACCAGGGTACACGCTGCAGTTTTGCCTGAAGACTGCCAGCTCAGCTCCCTCATCCTCCCTCCCCTCCTCATCTCTCCGTGCTGGAGATACACAGAGCCTGACAATGCACGCAGCTTTTTGCTGCCAGTAACTTCATGGGAAAGATGAAATCACTCTCTTTCCTGGCCAGCAAATGTGAAGGCTAGCTGTTCCTGGTATAGCAGGGATGGGCCATGGAGCAAGGGCTGCATGGCCCCACAGGCGTCCCCTGGCCAGCAGCTCTGTTTGCGCGTGTGTTAGCACACGTCAGGCCCATCTTTCCCTGGCATCCTGGGCTGCTCCGGCCCCTGAGCGCTGCCCTGTGGTGTCTTTCAGAAAGGAAACACGGCCCTGCACATTGCTGCCCTGGCTGGACAACAGGATGTGGTCCGGGAACTGGTGAACTATGGGGCCAACGTCAATGCGCAGTCACAGGTAGAGTGACCTGGGCTGGGGTGGGAAAAGCACCCAGCATGCACGGTGGTGGTGTCCTCATGGTGGGAACTGTGCCCAGCATGGGCACTTCAGGAGCCCTTTACAGTTTCTCTCTAGTCCTGTTCAGGGGCAAGGACTGCTCCGCCAGACTCCTGAAAGAAGATGAGCGTGTGAGTGGTGTGGAGGGAGTCTTGAGGGATATGGGGAGACCAGCATGGTCCCTCTGCTGAGAGAAGCCATGGCAGCACACACAAGCATGCTGAACTCATGCTGGAGGACTCATGACCAATGTGTCCCTGGCACAGCCATGAGGTCTCCAGCAACCTCTGTAGCCCTGCTTCATTCTCTCTTTCTTGGGCCTGGTGCGGCTGTAAGCTCTTCAGCTTTTGCCTGATGGGAGAAACATCCCTGAAGCAAGGGAGAGTAGTGGAAGGCAGTGTCTCCTGGGTTGACTGTTGTGAAGCATCCCATGGTTCTTTCTGGATGTGGGGACCCTTGGGCTCCAGCTCTCTATGATTGCTCCACCACTGCCAGTTTTTTCCTTTTTCCCCACCCACGCTGTGTATGCTTTTGCCCCAGTTCAATGAGCTGAGGGTGTGGACGTTGATGGGGTGTAGGTCTGCAAGGGGCTTGAGAAACTTGAGGAAGAGTTGTGTTGATGTGCATGGCCCTGTGTTTGCAGAAAGGCTTCACACCCCTCTACATGGCAGCGCAGGAAAACCACCTGGAAGTTGTCAAATTCTTGCTGGAAAATGGAGCCAACCAGAATGTAGCCACAGAGGTGAGATCCTTGTGGAGGACTCTAGGGGCCTTCTTGTTGGGGCTGCTGTGGCTCCTCGGCTCTCCCCCTCTCACCTGCTTCTCCTTGGCAGGACGGCTTCACGCCACTAGCTGTGGCTCTGCAGCAAGGGCATGAGAATGTGGTTGCTCACCTTATCAATTATGGGACAAAGGGTAAGGTCCGTCTGCCTGCCCTGCACATTGCAGCCCGCAACGATGACACTCGCACAGCTGCCGTGCTGCTGCAGAATGACCCCAATGCTGATGTCCTCTCCAAGGTGTGTGGCTTTCCCATCCTGTCTCTGGGAGTTTTCCCACATCCCCAGGGAGAATAGCAGCTTGGTATGCTGTATTTATCCATCCTTTCAGCAGGGAGCATGTGTCTGGCTGGGCTGATCCCTCCTTCTTTCCCCTAGACTGGATTTACCCCCTTGCACATTGCAGCCCACTATGAGAATCTCAGTGTGGCTGAGCCAGCGTCAACTTCACACCCCAGGTGAGTGCAAAGTGGGAAGAGTGCTGGGACTGACACTGCTCCGGCACCAGAGGAGGATGCTGTGCCTCCTTTCCATGTAGGTGCAGCAGCAGCTGCCAGGGTACGCTGGTGAGGTGGGACCATGCAGAAGGTAGCACACTGGTGCATGTCTGGGGAGTTGCCATTAATAACCACTGTGGGCATTTTCTACTGTCTCCCCTCTGTTGGATGCAGCCATACATCCCTGGAAAGCTCTTGGGACCTTGTGTCTAAGCTGAGGGAAAGCTGGTGCTGTCACTGCAGGGCAGAGCTTATAGTCCCTGCAGCTGGCATGCCTCTTCCAGTCCCATGGGCGCAGCTAAATCCGTGAGCTGGCGCTTTCCTGCGAGCTCTGTGCAGCTTCTGTCCACAGCCTTTAGCTGCAGGCAGGAGCAGGTGCTCACCCTCTCTCCCAGTCCTGTGAAACAAGCTGTTCCCCTGCACTGTCCCTGGGCAGGGATTTAGCTCTCCCCTGCCCTCTATCCTTCGTTTGCCCCCCGTGCCTCCTTGCAGCCCCTCAGGAGAAAGAGGAGGGGTTGCTCCATCTAACAGACTGCCGTTCCTTCTGTCAGAACGGGATCACCCCCCTGCACATAGCCTCCCGCCGGGGCAACATCATCATGGTACGGCTGCTGCTGGACCGCGGGGCCCAGATAGAGACAAGGACCAAGGTGAGACTGCTTCTGAATCACCAGCAAGTACACGGGCCGTCTCCCTCCCCGAGCTCCTTGTGTCCAGGGAGCACTGCCGTGCTGCGCTGCCCGGTGCATACCCTGTGAGCATCTTGCTGGGAGTGTGAGGGAAGGTCCCTGGTGGGGCGGACCAGGTTTTTCACTGGTGCACATAGACGTGAGAGGAGGCTGCATGGCCACAGTGGGTGTACCCTGGGGGCTGAGGGCAGGCTCAGTTTTGCCTTATTTTGCAAACAAGTCCAAAGTCCCTGCTACTCTCCTGCCTGCCAGAGGGGAGCCCTGCCCTTCCTTGCCCATGCTGAGCCCTTGAACCCTTCTCTCTCCCCAGGATGAGCTGACCCCTCTCCACTGTGCAGCTCGCAATGGGCACGTGCGAATTGCAGAGATCCTGCTGGACCACGGGGCTCCTATTCAAGCAAAAACCAAGGTACCCATGGGACTCTCTGGGGCTGTGCTTGGTGCCAGGTCCCAGGGCAGCACAGGGGGGTAAGAAGCTGTGCACAGTTACTGGATGCCACCAGTGGCTGGGCTGGGGCTGAGGTTTTGACCTGCCAAAGGGCAAGGAGCTTCCTGACCTCCTTCTTGGCTCTTGCTGGAGCCCTTTGCCTGAGGGCTGCATGCTTCAAAGGGACCAGCCCTGAGAAGGGGATGGCCTGGGAACAACCTGCCCCACGGCAGCAGCTCTTCAGGCCCTGCCCTCTGCTCAGCATTGCTCCCCTGTAAGTCTCAGTGAGGGATTTCGGGGCTCCACTCTGGTAGCACCCTGGGGAACATGCCATCTCTTCTGCGCCAGAGCTGTGGCCAGGGGAGTGAGGCAGGGGCTAGGTGGGGTGCCTGGTCCCCTTCCTGGCCCAGCCCTAAGGTCTCACTCTGCGGTCGCAGAACGGCTTGTCGCCGATCCACATGGCAGCGCAGGGTGACCACCTGGACTGCGTGCGCCTGCTCCTGCAGTACAGCGCCGAGATCGACGACATCACCCTGGACCACCTAACACCACTGCACGTGGCTGCGCACTGTGGGCACCACCGAGTAGCCAAGCTTCTGGTGGAGAAGGGGGCCAAGCCCAACTCCCGAGCCCTGGTGAGTGAGGAGGGGCAGGCAGGGCTGGGGCAGGGGAGAGGGAGAGTGTTCCCACAAATGACTGTCCGTCTGTCCGTCTGCAGAATGGCTTCACACCCCTCCATATTGCCTGCAAGAAGAATCACATCCGGGTGATGGAACTACTGCTGAAGACGGGTGCCTCCATCGATGCCGTCACGGAGGTAGGTGGGCTGCAGCCCAGCCCCAGCTCTCCTGCTACTGGCTGTGCAGAGCAGGCAGCGCTGCAGGGGATGATGGCCCCGATGGCTCTGCTGGTCCCCAGGCACCTTCTTCATTGTGGCTTAGAGCTCTTTGCAGCTCAGGACCTGTTGAGCCTGGCAGCATCCCCCTACAGCCTGCTCCCTACAGGAAAGGGGAACTGCAGGGGAGGCAGCAGCTCTTCATGTTCCCCTCGGCTCACCTGCCAGGGTGCTGGTGCCAGACTGGGGACCCAGAGTTTGCCTCTGTGCTGGAGCGTGCCCCAGGGAGGGGGCAGGAAGAGATGTTGGCAAGGCCATCAGCCCCCCATCTTGGCTCCTGACCCCTTTCTCTCCACAGTCCGGCCTGACCCCCCTGCATGTGGCTGCCTTCATGGGGCACCTGCCCATTGTCAAGACCCTGCTGCAGCGTGGAGCCTCTCCTAATGTGTCCAATGTGGTGAGTCCCACTCTGGCTGGGGCTGTGGGAACTCAGCATGGTGGGGTCCAGCAGGAGGTGGGGGTTTCCCGAGTCCTGCTCTCTCCACTCTCCTGAGCAATCCTTGGTGCCCCCTGCTTTGTGCTGGCAGGAGGAATTGGTATGGGCCACAAAAGGTTGTGGGCACTGCTCTCCTGTGCTCAGACCAGAGGAATGATGGCAGGAAGGCATATCCCCTCCTGTGACCTCACCACTTTATCCTGTCCTTGGTGCAGAAAGTGGAGACGCCTCTACACATGGCAGCCAGAGCCGGGCACACAGATGTGGCAAAGTACCTGCTGCAGAACAAAGCCAAAGCCAATGCCAAGGCCAAGGTAGGTACAGAGAACACGCGTGATAGTCCAGCTCTGGGAGCAGCTGGTGCCGGTTTCTTCACTCTTGCCTGCCAAGAGCCTGGCTTGTCAGGGGCTGTGCAACAGCAGGAGCAGGGCCGGGGCCCCTTCAGCATGGCAAGCAAGGGACTGGTCCAGGTCTGCCAAAATAGCGTCTCTGCCTCCCTCGTAGGATGACCAGACTCCGCTGCACTGTGCTGCACGCATCGGCCACACCAGCATGGTCAGACTCCTGCTGGAGAACAATGCCAACCCCAACCTGGCCACAACAGCGGGGCACACGCCCCTGCACATCACCGCCAGAGAGGGGCACGTGGACACGGCGCTGGCCCTGCTGGAGAAGGGGGCTTCACAGACCTGCATGACCAAGGTAGGCTGCTGTGGCCACTGCCACTGAAGGCATGACCCGGCTGGGCAGGCTGGCGGCTCAGTGTCCCTGTCACAGGAGGGGCAACCTCCTCCTGTGCCGCAGCATCCCTTCTGCATGTGTGCCAGTGCTCTTCTCATTCCTGTGCACCCTGTGATGGGCTGCCTTTCTCCTCAGAAAGGATTTACCCCTCTCCACGTTGCAGCCAAGTACGGGAAGGTGGATGTGGCAGAGCTGCTGCTGGCACGTGACGCTCACCCCAATGCAGCAGGGAAGGTGAGTGCTGCTCCTGTGGCAGTGGGAAGAGTGTTGTGGTACCGCGAGAGGCTCTGTCTCACCTGTCTGTGCCCTCTCCCCCTCCCCAGAATGGCCTGACCCCACTGCATGTGGCTGTGCACCACAACAACCTGGAGATCGTCAAGCTGCTGCTTCCCAAGGGGAGCTCCCCACACAGCTCAGCGTGGGTAAGGCCGGTCTGGGTGTCCCTGGGGATGTGGGGACGTGTCATGTGTCCAATACATGTCAGCCTGGGGCCGGCATTGCTCCTCAACCCTGACACTCAGGGAGCGTACAAGGACCCGATCACCACCATCCACTCTCCATGTCTGCTGCTTGTGCCTGCCTGTCCCTTGCACCAGCGTGTGGGGCAGGCAGGGGTGCTGGCAGTCATCCTGTCCCAGCAGACAGGCTATGTCAGGGATAGTCCCTGCTGGCAGCATTGTGGCTGTTGCTTGGGCACGTGTTTCCATAGCAAACCCTGCCGAGCAGCACTGCAGTCTGGCAGTTTGGGAAACCACACACGAATGTTTGCATGCAGCTGGGAAGCAGTGAGTCAGAAAACACACGAGCTCGTGAGAGTCGCCCCGCTCTGCCTGAGCACAGGGAATGTCTCCCCAAAGAGTTAGACCAGCAGCCTCAGTTTCCCCGTTGTTTGCAGTAGCTGCATCCTCAGAACGGACAAGTGGCTGCTGGTGGCCGCCCTCCCCCTCT